TCTTGCGAACATGTCGTTCAAAAATGATGAAAATCGGTCAAGTAATTCTCTAGGTTACAGTGCATGTGGTCCGATATCAAATGTTGCCTTATTTTATTGTGTGACGATGTCCTATGACGAAAGTGCGAAACAGGAAAAGGCCATTGTGATGATTATGCAAGGCGAAAGGCAAATACAGGTTGCCAGACATTTCCGTGTCCATATTTACACTACAGAATGTCTTGTTAGACCTCTAAGGGAAACAAGGAGGGTTGCTGACAGTCCTAGGTGTGGGCATCCACATGTGACGTCACAACGTCAAGACGGGTTTATTCGTCTCACACATTTGCTTAATCGGCACCTTACTGCCACTGAATCAGCCCTTCATACCATAGATACTTATAACCATCCTATCCATGCAAAAACTCCAAGGAAACGATTGCGGAAAGTTGGTCTGTGGGCATGTCACCTGTTTGTAGGTCTGACCCTTACCACTACTCATTGCCAGCATTGTATGGCTTGAGTAGGGGAACATGCCCCCAGAATATTCCAATTGAGGCAGTGGAGGCGGGTCTTGTTTACTGTTATTAAGCCCATGTCTGATAATAAGCCGATCTATTTATATTTCATTACAGTTGAATCGTAACCAATATTCTCAATTCCCCTCTGATACGCCCACGCTCTGAATTTGGGTGGGATTTGTTTGTTGACCCCTCAGAGTTGTTACAGGATAAGAGGATTTGTTTAAAGTATTAAAAATATTAAATTATACTATAATTTCTCTTATTGTATGTAATGTAGAAATAACTAGAAATGCTGGACTTACTCATGACACTAGTTTGTCTAAAATTGATATTACTCTACAATTTTATTCAGCCAAAATAAGTACGTTTACAATATATTGACTTGTTTATAAGCATAGAAAGGTGACGACAATGCCGTTTTCAGAACCAAAACCTTTGATCTGCCAGACATAATAAAGCAATGAAATAGGAAAGGTAAGGTAGAAATCAACAGATCAATGTTCAAAGAGTTCAAACAGTCTGTCATGTTTATATTTGAAATAGCAGGGACCAGTGTCCTACGTGTACATACTGTATAATGTAGTTGTAAGATAAGACTGTATGTAGAATAACTGCTACTGTTTTAGAATGTTTCCAGCACAGTAAACTTGGCACAAATCCATAACCGGTACCTGGTCTGTCGGCTTTTAAAGGTCCTCCATTACATTTATGGATGTGAACCTTATTAGCTAATTAATTTATTAATTAGGAAGTTGATTTCAAATTGGAAAGAAACATGGGATAAAACACAAAATTTCAATATATTGTAAGTATGAAATTTAAATTCTATTTTAAAATCCAAAAATATGCTCTCATAGATGGTGTTAGTATTAAAAATCTCAAACAGGATAGATTTCAGTACACTATTCATTGTCTTAAGAGTACGCCATTTTACAGAATCAGTTCACCATTACAATGAACTGAATATTATATAAGTAACATGGGCCATCAACGTTTATTAATTCTGATAAAATTTAAGGAATTTTACAAAAGTTTATATCAGTATATTATGTTGGTAAGCTCACAAATCTATTTAATTGATTTCAGAACATTTTCTTTGTGTTGCTAATGTCAATAGAATGAAAAGTTCTTAAGACACAACCAGTAGAATATGACACAACCAGTAGGGTATGACACAACCAGTAGAATATGACACAACCAGAAGAACATTCACATCAGTCTTTTTACCCTTTCTTATTAATGTAACCACATTCTGGAATTAAATTCTGATAAAAAAAAAATGATATAACTATGAATATTTTTGACAAATCGCACAAATCTGAAAACTCAAGAGCCATGTTTATTTCATGGTAGGTTTATTTTAAAAATAGCTACATAGTTCTATACTTTGGTTCTGAATTTGTTTATAAGAAAATTAAAAAGGTCACATATTTTTGTTCCATTTTCTATATACATATATTTACTTATACTCTGTATTTCCAAACTAATGATCACAACATCTCTATTAAACATGTAGATTTTTATATTACAGTCATTGGATTTTCATAGCAAACAACAAACATAAATAATCAATGAAAAAAATTAAGGTACGAGGACGTAATCTATAACAAAGGATATTATTCAGCTGTAGTCATCTACTTACTAATTATCTCCCCTTTGATCAGAATTTTCATTTTAATTCCGATTTTCATTATTATATGTTAAAGGTTATACAGACAATGGCCTGTTCACATTGCTGGATGACTTTAAAAAGCTGTCATTCTTTGAACGAAAGGTCTCCAGGACTTACCACAATGATATCTAAAGGTCATCCTGTAAAAACTATTACACAGGAAATTACATCTTTAACATCTGATTCTAATTTCATCTTGACAAATTATCTTTGCCGCTGTCTTTTTTTCCTGTAATTATATACCGGTATTTGTCTTCTTCGCAACCAAGATGAAAACAAAGTTGTGGATAGAGAATCAGAACTCTTCAGACTTGTTTTAAGCCCTCAGGGTACGACTGTATCTAACATTATACAAGTCCTTATATCTCCTATGACAACGCCTTACTTTTACCTATAGTAGATACTTCGCCTCAGTAAGAACTGGGGGCTGTGGTGCCTGGGTTGTTAAGGTTTCCAGGTTTGAGGCCTACGTGGGGCAGTCACCAGGTACTGAACACAGGTTGGTGGTTTTTCTTCAGGAACCCCGGCTTTCTTCCATCACCTGAACCTAGCACATCCTTAAATAACCCTGGCTTTTAATAGTATGTAAAGCAACATTAAACAAAACCATACTGATAGTTAGGAAAGCTTTGGATTCTCTCCTCTGGCTGGGTGGGACATACCAAAATTTTTGAAACTAACAGTGACTATTCCCTGCTTAACATTCAGCATTGTGGTAGTGTAGCGACTGTCTCATTTATTGTCAGTATAATGTGCTGGTGCTTTCAGCAGTACACTTCAGTGAGGTAGCACTATAATGTCAATATCAGTTCCACGCTATCTGATGGAGGCTTAAACAATAATATCTCAGAATGTTCTCCCACCTTGCACACATAGGAGGCCATACATCCTTAATTGATCATAGAAGTTGAAAGTTTCTTTATTGATATAAAAATAAACAAACCTTGATGGACTTAAGAATACTGGTACCATATTGATACTCATAAAAGTGCTTTTCTCTGTCTGATTGATAAAAGTGCTTTTCTCTCTCTGATTGATAAAAGTGCTCTCAGTTGAGAAACAATCATCCTTAACTTTAATACTGTATAGCCAGGTATCATCACAGGAATGATAGTTTTGCTAATCAGCAGTACATTTATGTGATCGCAAAAATGTATTCTGTAAAATGATGAGGCACATGTATATCAGTTGTTCTGTTACATCTTAATTTTCTTCAAAAATTTAAAATCAAACTTCATACAGCAGTACTCATTCTGTTACAAGATGATCTTTTTTGAAATACATCTATCACAATTTCTTTTACAACATTTTAATGTTGAAGTAAATTTGATTTGGGTTCTGAATTTCTCCCAAACATCAGGTATGATTAAACATCTACATTATTGATGAAATATTCAAATCAATAAACACACAGACATACATGTACAGTGCATTTCAGTGTAGATACAGTATACAAGAAGTTGGGAGTTAAAATCAACACCAGTGGTGAGCTGTTGGTCAGGTTGTAGTGTGGCCACAGCTTACAACAGCTAAGAAGATTATAAAAAGCACTTTGAAAATTTTAAAAATTTAGTAAACCGGTATGTTTGAATTAAATAGAAGAATATGGAAAAAAGTTTGGAATTTTTTCACACATATATAAATAAAAATGATTTACATATCTAACGTACTAAAGCTTTTGTGATCTATTCTTCAAGGAGTGCAAAATAATTACCTGTATATTACCTGTATAAAGGTGATTATAACGAGGATAGTCATGTTATATATGTACACCTGTACATACAATCCAGGTAAAACTCAAAGAATGGCAAATATCTTGTTGTTGTGAAGTTGTTGTTTTGATACAACTCAGAACGACTTTGAATCAATTTCTTTCCCTTTGGTTAATTTAATTACGGTACCACCTGTGGAACAAACCAGCTTAAGGATAACATGTACATGGTATGACTTGTTAAGGCTATATGTTAATTACAAGTTGAATGCACCTCCATTTCAGAAGAGCTCCATACTTTGGGAACTTTAGATATTGCTGTCATTGTCAGTAATTTGGATTTTGACTTTACTTGTGTCTCAGTTGAACGGCTACAGATTAAATTGTTACAGGGAGATAGCTCTAACAGAACCATGTAACAAAATGTGATGAATTGCTTGATAATATTTCTTTCCTGACCATTTCATGGAGGAACATTGTTGTTCATAATAAATTCTGGTTCATTTGTTCTCATATCAATATTCAATTTTTTTTAAATATCTAAGAAAATTTGTAAACATGTAATATATATTTAGAATAGAGCAGAAGATAGAAACCTGAGTAATGTTTTATCTGTGATGAAAACATGTCACTAGGGATCCCAAGAGACCAGTTAAGAAAAATGTCAGGAAAGATTTAAGTTCTCTGATTTGATTTTCCATTGCATTGCAAACATAATAATTTAATACTTGTGTTTATCTATGTCTTTACAGGTTAAGGAGGATGTGACCTACAAAAAGACGACAAGCTTCCAAAAGTATGGTCAACTGATGACCTCATATACTGACAGTGAAGAAAAATGGATCAGTCACAGGATAAATCAAAATGACCCAAAAGGTCAAGGTCACAACGTTTCCAAGGTTACAGACTTTACAAGTCAAAGTCATGGAGGTCATACTTTTTGGAATGGTTCTGAGATAGATAGTAGTGAGGAGGTCTCTTTTCAACACTGTCTTTCCAGGAGTCATTGCGAAAAAAAAGTATGACCCAGGAAAGTGGAGACAAACTCATTAAAATGCATGACAAGAATACAAAACCTAACGATATTGGTGGACAGTGTGAGAGTAAGGAAAATATGGATGATACAGACGAGCAAGAGGACCAGGACATGATCGACAGCGTGCCACTCCCTGCATCAGGGCCACATGTGGCAGATAATGTAAGATCAGATACACCCATTGTTCAGGGAGTGTTTTCACGAAAAATTGTTGCCAAAGCAAGCAAAAATGTTAGACAATTAAAACACTTGAATGACAATGAAGTTAGTGGTAGTGGTGAGGATGCCTTGGAGAAAGATAGAATGCATCGAACAAATTTTCGCAAGAATAGTTTGTCACGTGTGGCAGTTTCATCACGATTTGATGTCCTTGTCAGTAATAATTTGTTCAAGAAACATCTAGGACAAAATCATGAGGATATTCTGGAGCGGATTTATAAACAACGAGGAGGTGTCTTCAGCAGCGGAATGCGTAAAGCTTATTCTAATATCGACCTAACTACTATAGACTTATCACAAACATTCAATAACCCACTTAGTAATAACGGGAAATCTGCTTCATTTTCCACTGCAGATAAGCAAAACGAAAATCAGGGAAGCCAAGGTCTGCATCAAGGCCATAGTAAAGATACAGGACAACAAAGACGGAGACGTGTGTCAATTAGCAGTGGGCAGGAAGTTCAGGGTATCGTGGATGAACTTTCTGGCATGAGGAAACAGGTTACTATTAATGGACAAAGAACTCAAACAGTAACAGCTATTTCTAGTCGAGGCAAAAGACAAAAATTTAATGTTCCAAGTTTTTCTGAATTTAGAAAACAGCGTCAAATGCGCATTGCTAGTGGTCATCAGTATGCAAAAGAGGCAAAATCCTTGTTAGATAACAACCAGAGTGTAGTTCATCTTCCTGAAGTATCATCACAAAGTCTGGCAGAAGCTTCAGTTCTGATTACTGCAATGTCCTCTGAAAATTCAGACCAAGCAGATCAATTACAACCAATCAATGAGGATGAACAAAAAAGGTCCCGAAATGTTGTTGAACATGTTGAAGGAAAGTCACAGGAGGCTGTTGTTGTTCAAAGTGAGCATGTTGGTTCATGTGCTGTTGGAAACGGTGAAATGGTTATTGAGACAAAGGATTCACCTTCAGATCAAATGGAGTTAAAACAGGCAACAGATGTTTCTAGAGAAAAAGGTGAAATTCTATCACTAGAGCAATGTAGTTCAGGGGAAGGTACTCCTAATATAAGTGATTCAAGTAAGGAAGTACATTCTGTGACATCATTAAATCAGGGTACGAAAAATGAAGGAGAGTTAACTGATGTTTCCCTACCTACAAATTTGGATTCAAACCCTACTTGTATGTCAAGTCAACATAATTCAGGGGAGATAACTATTGTTCCTGTCCCTTCAGAGGAGGAAAAGACTCCTAGTGTGTCAAGTCAACATAATTCAGGGGAGGTAACTATTGTTTCTGACCCTGCTGAGGAGGAAAGGACTCCTAGTGTGTCAAATCAACATAATTCAGGGGAGATAACTATTGTTCCTGTCCCTCCAGAGGAGGAAAAGACTCTTAGTGTGTCAAGTCAACATAATTTAGGGGAGGTAACTATTGTTTCTGACCCTGCTGCAGAGGAAAGGACTCCTAGTGTGTCAAATCAAAATAATTCAGGGGAGGTAACTATAGTTTCTGTTCCTGCTGAGGAGGAAAGGACTCCTAGCGTGTCATGTCAACATAATTCAGGGGAGGTAACTATTGTTTCTGTCCCTGCTGAGGAGGAAAGGACTCCTAGTGTGTCAAGTCAACATAATTCAGGGGAGGTAACTATTGTTTCTGTCCCTGCTGAGGAGAAAAGGACTCCTAGTGTGTCAAGTCAACATAATTCAGGGGAGGTAACAATTGTTTCCATACCTACAGAGGAAGAAAAGAATTCTAGTGTGTTAAGTCAACATGGTTTAGAGGAGATAAGTTATGTTTCCCTTTTAAGAGAGGGAGGTGGAGATCCCATTGAATCCAGTCGACATAATTCAGGGGAGGTAACTAGTGCTATACCGACAGAACGAACAAGTGACAGTAACATACCGAAGGATGTAGTTCTGGCATTAATGGGAAGTTCGATGGAAACCCAGATGTCAGATGAAGTTTTTGATGATGACGATTCAGAGTTGCAGTCTAGTAAAAAACCACCAATACATATATGCCTTCAAGGCAACACCTCTGAGAAGAGTAACTTTGTAAGGCATGACCTTGACCTTAATGAAAGTGACATGTTAGTGCTAGAGGATTTAGATGTCCCAACAGCAAATCAAATGTGCAATATAGATACCACTTACGAACCCTTAAGTCTCCCCAATAGCATGAAGGATGCTTGTGAAACATTGACATTTAATTCCCTTGAGCATGAAACATCTGTACTTAACAACAATTTTATCACTCTAGAAGTTCCCTCTGAGTCAAATACTGATGATATTGACTTATCAGACACAAGGTCACAATGTGATAGAGATTGTGGTCTGTTACCTGGGAAAAAAATAACAGATGTGGTAAAAAGTCTTTCAGAAACAGTTAACAGTGAGACATGTGTTCCAGAGACTTCTGAGCCTGGAAATGTACCTGAGAAACAAGACAGTCTGGACAACTGTCCAGAGGGTGGAAATGGAAGTGAAGTGTTGGCAAGTGAGGTAAACAATGACCAACAAACAAACAGCACTGGTGAGATAAGTGAGAGAGGGAATCAACATAGAACAGAGACTACATATTGTACCAAATCACTTAGTCCTGAAAAACCGAAAATTCTCCCTCGAACACCAAAGAATCAAGCAAAACCTGATATTGCTCCTCGACCTGTTCCAAGGTCAAGGCCAGTCAATGATCCCTCAAGGTCACAAGTTGTTCAGACTGGTATAAGGCCACGGAAACGAAAACTGCCAACACGTCCACCGAGGGTCTCCCGGAGGAAAAGTGAGACGTGCAATCTCAAAACTTTAGTAACAGAAAACTCCCCTGCTTTGCAGACCTCGCGGTCTCTTGATAGTGAAGAACTGTCACAAGTAAAGGGAATTGTATCAGAAGTGATTAAATCTAGTCCTGGAATGAATGACATTGAAAATTCTGAAACCTCTACCTTGCCTCTTCCTTCTAGCCCACCTCCCACTGAAACCTCTACCTTGCCTCTTCCTTCTAGCCCACCTCCCACTGAACCCTCTACTCCACCTCTACCCTTTAGCCCACCTCCCACTGATGCCTCTACTCCACCTCTACCCTCTAGCCCCCCACCCACTGACCTGCCTACACCACCTTTGCCCTCTAACCCACCTCCCACACTCCTTAAACTGTCTGACAGGGAATCTCCTTTGCTCTATGTGCAATCTGATGATTCCAAGGAGCCAATAAATTCTCTAGTAATGAAATCATTCGATGAAAAGATTCCATTTTTACCTGAGTCATTAAATGAAACAGGTCCATTTAATGTCCTTCATCTCCCTACATCTGACAATAATAGTCCCAGTGATGATGGCACTTTTTATTTCCCAGAAAATCCAAAGCAATTTTCATCATTGGTATCAGCTGATGTCCAGTGTGAGGAATCAATTTTTGTTTTTCCGGAACCAATGTTGAACTCTCCACTCTCAGACCAAGAGGAACCAACAACACCAGGCTCAGTGAACCAAAGTGATCAGACCTTCTTGTCCACATCAGAATCAGTTACATCTGACACAAGTAACAAGCCAGCATCATGGCTTCCATCCAGTACAGATGATATCTATAAATCTTGTGACAGTGTTCACCAACAGCCGGAAAGTGAAACAGATTTTGATTTAAGTGGCACCACATTTGATCCTACAAAGGTAAGATCCCCTTTTTACCTGACTGGACTCCTTGTAAAGCACAATCTGAAACCCCTAGAAATGTCTACATCCAAAAATATCAGTATTCTAATTCAGTTCACGAAATGTTATCGGAAAACTTTTATTCAAAATCATGACATTTTTTTATCATGAATTCTTTTTACGGTGTTTAAAAATAAGATTTTGAAAAATTTTTTATTAGAATTTTAAATTGTATTTGTGTTCATTCTATTTTTTATTGACCATTCAGAATCTGAATGTTTACCGATCATCATCAGACGTGTCCAACAGTACCCCGGAGGCACTACAGAAACGCCGGGAACGCAAGGAGAGGCCATATAAAAGTGATCCATTTGCAGGAGGCAAGCGACCATCCCCTGGACAATTCATTAGTTAGTACATTGGCATAGTAACCACTGTCATTAAAGAACACATCCATAGCAACTGTTGTCATTATAGTACACATCCATAGCAACCACTGTCATTATAGTACATATCCATAGCAACCACTGTCATTATAATACATATCCATAGCAACCACTGTCATTATAGTACACATCCATAGCAACCACCGTCATTATAGTAAAAATCCATAGCAACCATTGTCATTATAGTACACATCCATAGCAACGGTTGTCATTATAGTACACATCCATAGCAACCATTATCATTATAGTACACATCCATAGCAACAGTTGTCATTATAGTACACATCCATAGCAACCACTGTCATTATAGTATATATCCATAGCAACCATTATCATTATAGTACACATCCATGGCAACCATTGTCATTATAGTACACATCCATAGCAACCATTTTACATTTTGACATGTTTAAAGGAACAAAAAAAGTGTTGGAGACAGAGACAGCCATTTTGAGTTAATGACATGCCATCATTGTCCCTATTGTACAATCAATTTCTGACTTGAGCAGCCAATGAAAAAACTTCCAGGGTATATTATACTGTTGACATATATGTCTAAATACATTTCAAATATAGACAAGTATGTACATCTTCATGGAATGTATAGATAGTACTCCCCATAGTTCTCTATCAGCTGTTGTTTATATATCTCTATGGAAACCACTTCCATTAGGTTACACTTTAGCTGTTCCAGAGATACAAAACCCGGAACAAACTTCAGCAACCATAACCAGGTTATAAGGTTACCATAGCAACCATTGTCTGAGTTATGTATATTTACTTATACTTGAGGTGTAAGTTTGACAATACCTAAAGGTCAAAGTTGAAGCTTATATACTGTATATATCTTTTTTAAAATAATTTGCATCTTCTTCAACAAAAAATGTATCGAGAAATTTTTATTTTCTTTGGTAAAGTTTGAATTAACAATTATTATCATGTCTTCCCTTTCTAGGACGTCAACGAGGTTTACCGTCGGATGATGGGTTCACTGAAGATTGGATTGATGAAATGGATGAAGCAGAGGTAAGTTTATCGTCTTACATTTATACCTGTTAGTTTAGCTAGATCTCAGATTCAAAATCTAAAACAGAAACTTTTTGAGTGTTCCATGTTTGTTCTACCATAAAGTACAACATGGAGTTGTTTGTCCATTTACCAATAACCTACAACCCCTTTGTCCCAAAATTTTATACCTTTCTGCTACATCAGACTGTTGTGTACTTCAAATCGTTGTGGTTTGACCCAAAAGCAGAAAGGATGATGTTTTGTTTATTGAATTTATGACATGGACATTAATGGTTTTCTTTCTTTTTATTTTATATTTATTTTTGTGTGATTTTATTCTATCAGAGTCAAATAAAGCTTTTCCTTGAACATTACAACCTTTGTAGTATTGTGTACTAGGACAACCTTTGTAGTATTGTGTGTTAGGACAACCTTTGTAGTATTGTGTGTTAGGACAACCTTTGTAGTATTGTGTGTTAGGACAACCTTTGTAGTATTGTGTGTTAGGACAACCTTTGTAGTATTGTGTGTTAGGACAACCTTTGTAGTATTGTGTGTTAGGACAACCTTTGTAGTATTGTGTGTTAGGACAACCTTTGTAGTATTGTGTGTTAGGACAACCTTTGTAGTATTGTGTGTTAGGACAACCTTTGTAGTATTGTGTACTAGGACAACCTTTGTAGTATTGTGTGTTAGGACAACCTTTGTAGCATTGTGTGTTAGGACAACCTTTGTAGTAGTGTGTTAGGACAACCTTTGTAGTATTGTGTGTTAGGACAACCTTTGTAGTATTGTGTACTAGGACAACCTTTGTAGTATTGTGTACTAGGACAACCTTTGTAGTATTGTGTACTAGGACAACCTTTGTAGTATTGTGTATTAGGACAACCTTTGTAGTATTGTGTGTTAGGACAACCTTTGTAGTATTGTGTGTTAGGACAACCTTTGTAGTATTGTGTGTTAGGACAACCTTTGTAGTATTGTGTGTTAGGACAACCTTTGTAGTATTGTGTGTTAGGACAACCTTTGTAGTATTGTGTACTAGGACAACCTTTGTAGTATTGTGTACTAGGACAACCTTTGTAGTATTGTGTACTATGACAACCTTTGTAGTATTGTGTGTTAGGACAACCTTTGTAGTATTGTGTGTTAGGACAACCTTTGTGGTATTGTGTGTTAGGACAACCTTTGTGGTATTGTGTGTTAGGACAACCTTTGTAGTATTGTGTACTAGGACAACCTTTGTAGCATTGTGTACTAGGACAACCTTTGTAGCATTGTGTACTAGGACAACCTTTGTAGTATTGTGTGTTAGGACAACCTTTGTAGTATTGTGTACTAGGACAACCTTTGTAGTATTGTGTGTTAGGACAACCTTTGTGGTATTGTGTGTTAGGACAACCTTTGTGGTATTGTGTACTAGGACAACCTTTGTAGTATTGTGTGTTAGGACAACCTTTGTAGTATTGTGTGTTAGGACAACCTTTGTAGTATTGTGTGTTAGGACAACCTTTGTAGTATTGTGTACTAGGACAACCTTTGTAGTATTGTGTACTAGGACAACCTTTGTAGTATTGTGTGTTAGGACAACCTTTGTAGTATTGTGTACTAGGACAACCTTTGTAGTATTGTGTATTAGGACAACCTTTGTAGTATTGTGTGTTAGGACAACCTTTGTAGTATTGTGTGTTAGGACAACCTTTGTAGTATTGTGTACTAGGACAACCTTTGTAGTATTGTGTGTTAGGACAACCTTTGTAGTATTGTGTGTTAGGACAACCTTTGTAGTATTGTGTACTAGGACAACCTTTGTAGTATTGTGTGTTAGGACAACCTTTGTAGTATTGTGTACTAGGACAACCTTTGTAGTATTGTGTGTTAGGACAACCTTTGTAGTATTGTGTACTAGGACAACCTTTGTAGTATTGTGTACTAGGACAACCTTTGTAGTATTGTGTACTAGGAATACTGTACAACTGGTAATTATCATGGGTCAAAATTTTTGCGATATTGATTTAAAACAAACAAGCTATATTTCAACAAATTAAAATTTTGTGATTTGGATGTAAACTGACTTGTAATATGTACATGTGTCATTATTTCATGTAATACATTTTCACATTCAAGTAATGTACTTGGAAAAAGTGAAAATATCTTACCCACAAAAATAACCGGCTATACAGTAATTACTATGGTACATCAGGCTTGTCTTTGTTTGATCATTTTGATCAACATTTTGATAAAAAAAATTGAATTCATTATTGTTCCATAAAGCTATGATTACATGTATTCCAACTTGACAGATTATTTCTTATCATTAGGCTGTTACACTGGCCGAAACAGAAGCTGACAGAAAGCGACGGATCAGAATGAGTGTGATTAGTGATGCCAGCACAGATAGTGGGGTCATAGGTCAAGATGGTCAAGATGGGTTGCAAGAAGCACCACCAAGCCCAACAGGAAGTAGTGGTTCCTATGGTTTCACCACCAAAGGGGGAGATAAATCTGGTTTCTCCATAATGGACCCCAACGTAAGTCAAAGTTACCCAGTTTCTACAAACTTAATCAGAAATTTCCAAAGAAAAATTTCTCTGAAAGTTTTGAAGTTTAATCCAGGGCATTTAGCTCATTTGGTCCAAAAGGACCAGAAATTGAGCTTGTACCATAACAAAATATCCATTAACTTTTTTTTAGAATTGCCACTTATAATGAAATACAGAGCAGATTTTTCTGAAGCATTGGGGAAAATAATAGCGAATTCTTTAAGCCTTTCTTCTTTGGTAAGAATGACTGTTATGTCTATATTTGGTCTGAAGCCTCCTTTGATGATCAGGACTACATCAGCTGTGTTTCTGACTTTTCTATAGAAAGAGGGACATTGGGCAAATAGAGGAAGTGCTTTAGAATCCTTCTGTTTTAGTTGATTTGAGTGGATTTTAACCAAGTGCACTTGGATGAAGGAGACTCATGCAATTTTTCCATAAAACATTGGGATAAATCTCATGGAGGGCTCTATAGGGGAAATACAGTTCAATCTTCTACTGTAGAAATGACTGGATTTCGTCCGTAATTGGTCTAAAGTATTCTTGGGTGAAGGGGAATCAGTTTCGAGTAAATGATTTGTTTCAGCTCCCAGAGGATAGATCCAATTAGGGGAAACAGAGGTATTTCTTTAGTCAATATTTTGCCTTTAAATGCTTCTCTTTCGTAATACTTGAATGGATTTCAACCAAATTTGGTCTGAAACATTATGGAGAGTGAGGAATCACTTCTTAGATTCAGAAAGTTAATTCAACACCTAGTTAATAGGAATGACCTCGACCTGCTTGAAAGGTCACAAGAATCAAATATGTTAGAGTCTTTATATGACTTCTCAATAACTAAAAGGCCCAGGATAATGATATTAGTCCTGTAGCTTCCTAGGATGAAGGGCTACCTACCAACTTTGTTAATATATATGATACTGACCTACTTTCATGGTCACAGGTATCCAATGTGTTAAAATGTTTAAATGACCAAAAGAGCCAAGTTGCTGATATTGGACCAACTTTCAAGGTCACAGGGGTCAAATGTGTTGAAAAACTTAAGCAACTTCTTCTCAATCACCAAAAGGCCAAGGGTCTTGAAATTGTAGCTTGCTTTTTCAACAAGTAATATGCCCAGAGTAATGGCATTTGTGTAGTGCATGTAGAAAGAATATGATTTTAAGTTTGCAGAAAATATGTTGATGAACCAACAATGTCTTTTATGTAAGCTTTAGAGTAGTAGAGCTATTTATTTTAGGCCTATTTTGCCTCTTTCATATATAGTTCTTTATAGTCAGATGACTGTTAAGGCCCATGGGGCCTCTTGTTTAAACAATTCTTTTACTGTACTACAAATATGGCAGAAATAGATTTCTTTTTGTCGAAAATAATTTATTGATTATGACAAAAATATTTTGATATGAAAATTGTGATCACATTTGTTTGTCTCTGTCTTAACTGCTTCAAATCTAAGTGTATTAATCGTGATATGTAGACATGTTATCAATCTGATATGCTGCCCAAATGAGTGGTGATTGGATTTGACACAGAAGGTGTAAAGTAGTCAATACATTAATTAAACGACCATATTGGGGAAAGTCAACACTGCTAAGTCAACATCTCATAACAAATGTGATCCATTATCACTTCATTCCAGTGAATGTGATTTACAGATTTAGTAACATCATCATGTAGTTGTCAGCTAGAGTGGCTGAGCGTACAATGTATGACGTCAGAACAGTAACATGAGAGAACTACCTTGTTATCACTAATTCCTTTATATTACCGGTATATCTATCATATCTTGAGGTTTAATTTGTAAATTTTGTTTTGATTATATTTGAAATATTACTCAATTTTTACGCATGAATAGGTCATTAAGCCATATATCTTTCATAAAAATATTTTCAGAATTTTTTTTTTCATCATAATGTCACATTGTTTCTTAATTGTTGGCTGCTGGCAAACACTCCACCTAAGGAGGATATTTGTGGAGGTGTATTCGAAATGATATTCTAGGATGATAAATACAGCTTTTTAAAGTTTGTTTTTAATGTCTATATAGAAATATGGATATATTTGTATTTCATTTTCTGACATCTAACCATAAACCTAGTATCACTTTTTTTGGCTTTTTAAGAAAAAATATTTTAAAAATCTACAAACACCATACACAGATATAACAAGGTCAGACTATTAGTCTAGGTCTAGATTACTTGGTTTATAAACTGTTCCCTCATAATTTCAACTAATTAGTGCTATTTTGCTTTTTTTTAATTGAGAAGAGTGAGAGGGGAAACATTGCTGCTTCTGTCATTGGCTGGCTTAATCTTGTTGCTGGACAACAGATGCCATTAAATATAGATTGAAGTTGTGTCATATCTGGTTGTAGATTGAAACGCACCGACTCTCATCCTGTTTATACAGTAAAATTATTGATGTACATAGGTCCTCATTGGGCCTGTCTACAGCCAATCATGTGCCGTTCTCTGATGGAAAATTATGTCGTCTTTGATTCACTGGACAATTTCTTTTGTGAACATTTAAGATCAAATTAACACAGTGATTACATTTCCATGGCAAATGGATATGTATAAAGTGCATATTATACCGTGAACAGGGAAGGCCATTCTACATTCTGAAACTGTTGCATAATATTCATTAGAATTTTCTGTAAATAAGTGTTTTTGTAATGTAGGATTTGTGTAAAACTTCATGCAGTTTTCAAATATAAAGAGAATCTGGACTTTCCAAACTATATAAAATCAATCAAATTATAAACCGTGGTAATATCTTATACAATAATAAGGCAACAAAACTTTTATAATTTGATAGAAAATATCGCTAAGTGTTATATAATATATAAGTACTATTACATAATAAGGTCTGAAGATAAAAACTATCAGAAAAAAAGGAATTTTAATTGTTTTTTAAAGAAAAGGTTATAAATTTTAAATTGGAGATTTAGATAATGACATGACACCAGTTGGAGCTGCTATATAATATAATCTTGTTATCTAGTAATACAAGCTTGATTTCAACATTAAGCTGAGAGAGAAGACAAGCCTTTCAACAGCTCAGTAACCACAATAACCACAATCAACAATACTATATTCTCTTTGGGCATAACCATTACTCTGTTACCAATAACTTGATTGATTCATTTTATGTATATGACCTTGAAATATTTGATGACAGGAAGTAGAACTCTCCTGTGTATTTAGAGTAGACTTTCCCAGAGTGTCATTGACAACAAGAAGCATGAAAGTGGAATCAGCACCACTGATCAAGTGTGCTTTTGTGAAAAGGATTATAAATTAGGGTGGCAGAAATTATGATGTGAATAATTTCTATCAATCATTCCACTCCCTTATGAAATAAAGCACCACCTACAACCTCTCCCACCAGATGAACCTTTTGAGTGATGATTTTCTAAGTAAACGGTTGAACTTTTCATAGAATGCCAACATTTTTGTTTATCAACATTTCTGACATATTACAGGGTGTGAGTATAATATATCAATTCTGTAATAATCCCAGCATAATACCCAAAAAACATACCTGCACACTATACCCGAGTGTGCACTTTATCCGAGTGCACACTTTATATGAGTGTGCACTTTAGCCGAGTGCGCACTTTATCCGAGTGTGCACTTTACCCGAGTGTTTACCATCAATGCAGAATTTCTATAAAAGGTATTTGTAACTGGTATGTTGAATAGAAACTTAACCTAGACTGTTTATATCATGATGCCACTTGACTGGTAATCCCAACTGAGTTGTTCCCCTTGAGTGAGTGATATCCTCTGACTCTTTTTTATCTCCCTTAACTAATCGGTCTCCCCTGACTTAGCGGCCAATCCTGGGTGGTCTCCCTTAACTAAGTGATCTCCTCTGATTGAGTGTTATCTTCTTACTTAGTTGTCTTCCTTAACTAATCGGTCTCCCCTGACTTAGCGGTCAATCCTGGGTAGTCTCCCTTAACTCATTAGTCTCTCTCAACTTAGCGGTGGTCTTCCTTAACTTAGTGATCTTCCCAGACTAAGTGGTCTCCCTTAACTAAGTGGTCACTTCTGTCTGATTGGTCTCCATCAACTTAGTGGTCTCCCCTGACTGAATTGTTTCCCCTGTCTGAGTGGTCCCTACTTATAGAGTTTAAACCTTGGTGAGTGTTCCCTCCTTACAGAGTATTTTCCCCTGACTGAGTGGTGTCCCCTTACTGAGTGGATTTTCCTTTCAGAGTAATCCCCCTTGTCTGAGAAGTCTCTCAACCTTTTTCTTCCTTTGACTTACTAGTCTCTCCTGACTGATATTTCTTATAAAAAAACTATTTGATACTTTTAGAATAATTTCCAATGAGGACTTCCTGTAAATGTTCTGTTAAGTTCTCAAACCCTATCTTCTACATGAAAAAATGCAAAGTTGATCAATTATGAGTTCCTTTAAAAGCATTGTTTAGAAATAATAATACTGCAAGACACCTGTACAAGTAGACAATTTGATCCAAATTGTAGTAAACAACTTTATGCTTTAAAAAATTCTGTTAATAATGTAGCTTTGTTATTTTCATATGCACTGAAATGACCTTATGTTGATGCTGTCTTCAATTACACCTACCTTTTGTAATTGTAAGGTATCAGTTGTATTGTGTTGACAGTAACCGTGTATAATCAATCATGTTGTCCACAGTTAATATGGCACTCTCCTAGATATTGTGACCAGTTTATCTTCAGTTTTCATTATAAATGCCTAACACCACATTGATAGGATTGTCCAGGTTATTTGACATCAAAAGCACTAATCTTTGATGTTTACTGCCTTCTGATCAGCCACAGTTTAAACATTCATATTTATAATTTGAGTCAAGGCCTTTAGAATCATGCTAAGGATTCAAGTTTAAACAAATAAAATGAATAATTGATTCAAAGCCAGTGAAACATACAAATAGAACTAATGTATATGACAACATGGCAGCTCAATAAATTAAGTAATAACCTATAACAGATGTAGGACTAGAAGGGAGCCGCTCGTAACAGGAAGATTTCTATACTATGAACAACAGTTATTAGCTTGGTTGAAAGTGTTTGAAAGGTGTTGCTATGGTACAGGGTATCCAGGAAAAGCACATCTGGTCAGGCAGGTGATCCATTCCTAATCATGTCAGTTAGTGCAGCAAAACCCAGGAGTTTAGGTAAAAAACGAACCAGACCGTCCAAGTTTGATGTAATGTTGTCCCTAATTAGACCTCTGTTTACCAGGGAGGACCCATATTCTACAGTGAACCACACTTTAGTTCTCTCGTTTAATCATGAAGGGACACAGGCAGGCATTAGTCCACAACAGAATACAACAATACCCAAAAAATAATTATGGATGTTTATTTGGCAATAAACCCAGCAATCAAACTCTTCTTTTACAATAACAGTTTTACAAAAAAAAATAAAATAAAAGGGTGTTAAAACAAGTCTATGTGCAGTTTTACAAATAGTCTTTTTAGACAGGTGTCCTTTATACAGAAGACAGGTTACTTTATTTTTAGTGGCTTTTATAGACAGATAGTCTCTATAAAGAGGTTTAAATACTATGAATTGTATCGACATAGAACCTGATACCAGTATAGACCGTTGGCCTTAAAATAGAGGTTTAATTACAATGTATTATATTGAGTTAGGATAATATACCAATGGTCCTTATTGAACAGCATTCTGACCAACGCAAGTGAGTACCATCAACAAACATATTTCTTAACTACTTTGAAATAAAGTTAATTTGACATTTTAGAGAGATTAAACAACATTACAATACTTGATAAAGTATCAGACCAGAGGCAGTAAAATATGTCAAATTATACCAAATATCCCCAACCGAATTTTTTACCGGAAAATCAGTAAAGATTTGATTATCTCAGATAAAAAGTTTCCTCATTAACCGAAATATTTTCCGTTTTACTTCTGAATATATCCATTACTTTGCCTATTTCCTAGTGTCAAGTTGACACTACGACTAAGTCCAGTACACAGACAGAAGGCTCTGAGTCCTGAAGTACCTCTGCCATAACGCCAATCAAACTGATAAAAACTAGGCAATGACGTCATAATGGAATCCATATTGTAATCAAAATAACAGGTTTTCTTAGAAAATACCTGAGTTGAACCTTGCACTGATTGGTAGTGTGTCAGCCTCCGAGTCCTGTTGCCAAGGCTTGTAGCTAGGTGACTCCATAACCTTCCAGTGAGAAACAGATCAATATGTTTGCCGTCTGCTATGAAATACATTGATATGTTGATATCAGACACAGAACTCCACTCTGACAGTTTGCATTTTACAAGTTCCATGTGCAGAGTTGAATTTTTATTCTTGAAAGTTTCAGCACAGTAAATTTGTGACAGACATTTCATGACAAGTACTTTGTGATAGATATTTCATGACAAGTACTTTGTGGATTTTTATCTGAACGGATTCACTATATCTTTTGGAATTAAATATGGTCCTTAATTACAATGCTTGGGTAAGTGTTACATAACTTTTTTTTCTTTTTTTTTTCTTTTCTTTTTAAGAAGTGTTGGACATATTTATTCATTTTCAAATTTCTTCCATACTGAAAAATTTCCGTTTTTTTTTTCTAATTAAAATTTATTAAAATTCTATTGATGAACAGAGAGATGAAGAAAATGTTGAGACCAGCATCACTGTTGGCAACAAAGAAGCAAAGAAGACGGAGAGAAAGGACATTATCATTGAAATCAGAGACACAGAGAAAAGTTATGGACGTGACTTACACATACTTAAAGATGTAAGATTTCAGACTTATTTTTTTCATGTTTTTTAACGAGTCATTTACATCATTAGTTATAAACTTAATTACCAATTAAGTTTTTAATAAAGTTACATAATGCTAAGTTACTACCAGACTCCATAACAACATTATATGCTTGATTATGTACATGTTTTACAAAGTAATTTTCAACTCAGTTTTGTGTAGGTCTGGATTTAATAAAGTTGATCATTGTTTACGTCAGTGCCAGTCAGTGTGATAAATAGCAGGTTGAAATGAAATATCAAAAGTCGATAATATCTATCAGTTTTTTTCATGGTTACAGATTAAAAAAAAAAAACTAACTTTCTATTCTGTTTCCAGCATTTCTATAAACCCATGAAAACAAATGGACTTCTAAGCTCAGACCAAGTTGAAGCTATCTTTCTCAACTTGGAGCAACTCATCAACACAAACGCTCAATTCACAGCCAGACTGGACACTGCCCTACAAGATGCTGTAACTAATGGAGACCATGTATGTTGATTATTAATCATAGAACTTTTTTTTTTAATCAAACTAAAGAAATCAATTTTATGCGTCATATGACCTTTAAATAATGCCTGTCATCTTTACAATAAAAACAACATACTTGTGAAAAACTGTGAATGTTTTTACTTTGTTTTTCAGGGTTTTGTGACAATATCCATAGGCAATTTGTTTCTTAAATCTACTGACCTGATGATGGCCTTCGAGAGCTATTGCGTCAATCAGGTAAGGTTAACAGACCATACAGTATACATGTAATTGTGACCTCTCCCAATTATCATCTCTTATTGGATAGAATTAATTCTGTCAGTATATTCTTCATTTTCAGTAATAATATAGGGTGTAATTTTTTAGAAGTTGTGTTTAAGTTTAACTGGTTAGAAGTAAAATTATTCAATATTTTAAGCATAAAGTCCGAGGATGGACATGACACTTCTGCCACTAACATGGCAGGTGCCAGTGATGAACAAAAAGATGCTAGCTCTTTACAGAACACATTGTAATATATTGGTATATTCTTATTGGTTTTTTATCTGAATAAAAGAATATTGATTTCAAAAATACTGCACTTTGACCAAGTTTTTTGGGTTTTGATGGATTTCAGAGAAAAAAAATATTTCATGTATATTTTGAAATTTAAAAAAAAAATTTTTAGAAGCAATTATTTTTTTATCAAATAAAACAGAATTTCAGTTTCTTCTGAATTAGAATTTAATTTTCTGAATTCTTATATAATTTTAGGTCATTTTAAAATGTTGAAACTAAGTTGGTGAGAGATATAATTCTATGAAAGTCTTGTTGATTTCATCACCTCAAAGTATTCATTGTTTGAAGCTTGTGTGAGATTATTGACTCTAGTTTTGCTAGAAATGTGAATTGCAGCACTGTTAGTTCTAGTCAGTCATGTCTGCCCCAGTGACCTAGTAGAGACGACTCCGAAATTCAATATCATTATTGGAAAGAGTTTTCCTTTTATCAAGGTCCTTGATCTATGAAGGTTGACCATTACACAAGTGAATTCTGAGACATTTGTCTTATCTTGGTGATAAAAGAAAGACACACTGAAATAATTGATGTTTCGAACTCTGAAAAATGTTATGCAATCGTGTTCATTATGTCAGTAGAGTTAATCTTGAAATCATTGAAAGCTCATTGAAATTTGATAGCAAAAAAAAAATTTTATTTCTTAAATCTCTGTGTCAGTACTATTATACCAAATGTACACTCTGTTGTACAAGAAAGTAATTTGATAAAAATGTGATTAAAAATTTAATGATATTAAGTTTTTTGGTATGGCATTAAGTCCCTTTTTTTTTTAATTTGACATACATAGAAGTTCTTAATAGGTAAAGTTGTGTGAACCAAGGACCTTACACAAGATCCTTACCCAGTGGAAATGCTGATTCTCAAGATTTCTTTTTGTAGTTATTGGTTATGAATAAATAAATAAACCATTAATTATTATTAATTGATTTGTTGATCAATATTCATACAAGAAATCAAATGCTCACAATTTTTTTTTTATCTCAAAATTTGTGTTCCAAGAAAATATACGACTTTAAATTATATATTTTAACTATCACATGATGCACTAATACAAAAAACAGTGTTGAGAATTTTCACCATATTCATATGGGTATAACAAGTTAATAGCCTTTACTTTTATAGTGTAAATTTAATATACTGCGTAGAATTAATAAAGTCTGTTGTTGTGCACACATTTTTTGCTTACGTCATATTTACAAGAAATACACAAAGGTTTTAAAAATGTTTGTGCGATATCAGACTTTGATATTTGTTGTTCTTCAAAAGCATTTTTAATTTTAAAATTTATTGCTTTTCAGAGTCATGCAGGCAATTTGTTAGAACAACTGGAGAAAGAGAAGGAGCTATTGAGGATATTTTTACAGGCCTCACAGGATGATAATGGGGCATTGCGACGGATGCCTCTTAAATCTTTCCTCATCCTTCCTGTACAGCGAATAATGAGGTAAGTAGACCACACATCCTCAGTACAAAACAACACACCAAGTTAGACTTCTATTTGGATCTGAAAACTTTATTTTCCAAAATGTTTTGATGTAAAGTAAAATTTATTTGAAATAAATGTTGACGTTTTATGGACTTTTATCTCCAAAGCTCATTAAAATGAAAAAAGTGACAAATTTCATTGATTATATCGCCCAAGGAAATAAACCTCAGATTCTATTGCACAATCGATTATTTAGAGCAAGTGTTGTAGAGAACGGACATTCCCTGTCAAACATAAAGTCCTTTCGGCTCAAAATCACTGATCTCCATTGTTATGACACAATATAATCTGTAAGTGTGTGATGTCATTTTATTATCTTACCCCCAACATTACGATAAGTAATATTATATGTGTGTAATAGGCAAAATAATCATATGATAAATACACACATATAAAAGTTTACATTTTTACCCGATCGAGTGATGAAGTCCGTAAGATATATTTACTCCTTAATTTTAACAAGAATGTGTAGTTACATATCCAGCAATGATCCCATGCCTGGTAATAAGCCCACCCCTATATGTTGAAATGTTCCGTGTAAAATGCTTCATCGTTGTTCTGTAATAGCCAATCCTCTTGTTTTCAGTTAAAGGTTTTGTATCGGCCTCTGTGTGTAGCTAATTACTTGAAAATAGGACTTATCCTGAAATCTTTACCAGTTTTAAGAAATTTATAATTTTGTCTGTCCTACAGGTACCCATTATTATTAGAACGTCTCCACAAGTATACGTCTTGCGAAAACCCCGACAAAGAGGCCATTTCACTAGCTAAAGCAAAGCTGGAGGAAATACTTGCCCATATCAATGCGGTAAGCTCAGATTTTTTTTAATTTCTCAATGGCAACGCTTGACTTGTAACATAGAATACTTTAACAAGTATTGATTCAAGGAAATAGCAAATTTCAGAAATCAAATATTGTTTAAAAGAAATAAGAATATCTAACATACTGTTTTAAAGAGACAGTAACAGAGAAATGTATCTTAAGAATTGTTTTAGGATCTGAAATTAATATTTACCAAGCTTTCCCAGTGACAAAATTGCATGCTATCAGTTTGAAGGTTAGTCCGTATTGACAAAAAACATTCACAAAAGTATAGTCGGATCCGTTCGTTATTTTATTGTTGATATTGAAATGTAAAGTATACATATCATTTATGGGCATGTCATGTACTCTGTACATCTCACATAGAATACCTAATTAATGTAAAATCTCAGTCTAAATATTGATAGTTAAGTTAAAAAAAAAACATGTCATTGTGGTTTGACTCTACTCATTGTTACCATAAATGTTTACTTTTATGTTGTATACCGGATTCTGATTAAAAAATAATTTTTATTTTTTGTTGTTTTCTGGTGTGTTACTGCATTTTGGAAATTTTGAATATTTGTAATAATGCATTATGTTGAAATATCTGTTTAAAAAGAAAACAGTTTACACACCAGTAATCAACAAAATTCTTGTTTATATTAAAATTTTGACAGTTGATTTTTTTTATTTATTACAATAAAAAATCATCATCATCATTTATTGGACAATATAAGCTCTGACTGAACAGTCTGACGACTAATTGATTAGCAAAATATCTGATTATATTTTGGTGAAAAGGTTTAATTATCACCGAAGTGTACACATCAATTTTGTAGGTAAGGTCAGACAGAGAATACACACTGGACACCAGAAATGTAGAAACAATGTTTAAAAAATATATCAATTTATTTTCATAGCTTTTATCATTTGTATGTGTTACAGAAAACACAAAAAAGTAGTGGATCCATGAAGATGAAGAAGAAGGTGGCTGACTTATTGCTACAGAGGCAGGCTCACTCGATGGAAAAAGCTGAACTGAACCGAGTAAGTTTCCTAGGTCTTAGTTAATCAAACTAAATCTATTGCTTGTAATGACTTATTTATATAGTGTAGACAACATGTTAACATGTCAATAAGCCCATGTTTGGTAATAAACCCATCCATATATATTGCTATCAATGACTTATTTATATAGTGTAGACAACATGTTAACATGTCAATAAGCCCATGTTTGGTAATAAACCCATCCATATATATTACTATCAATGACTTATTTATATAGTGTAGACAACATGTTAACATGTCAATAAGCCCATGTTTGGTAATAAACCCATCCATATATATTGCTATCAATGACTTATTTCTATGGTGTAGACAACATGTTAACATGTCAATAAGCCCATGTTTGGTAATAAACCCATCCATATATATTGCTATCAATGACTTATTTATATAGTGTAGACAACTTGTTAACATGTCAATAAGCCCATGTTTGGTAATAAACCCATCCATATATATTGCTATCAATGACTTATTTATATAGTGTAGACAACATGTTAACATGTCAATAAGCCCATGTTTGGTAATAAACCCATCCATATATATTGCTATCAATGACTTATTTATATAGTGTAGACAACATGTTAACATGTCAATAAGCCCATGTTTGGTAATAAACCCATCCATATATATTGCTATCAATGACTTATTTATATAGTGTAGACAACATGTTAACCTGTCAATAAGCCCATGTTTGGTAATAAACCCATCCATATATATTGCTATCAATGACTTATTTCTATGGTGTAGACAACATGTTAACCTGTCAATAAGCCCATGTCTGGTGATAAGCCCATATACATCTACTGAAATAATACTAAAAGGCATCCATCATTATCTCAATGCATTGTTAAGTATACGTTGTTTCCAATGATTTTATGAGATAATCTGCAAATTAGCATCAATCCAATTAATATCTGTGGTTAAGCCTCAAGGATACAACAAGTTATGTCTGACAAAGTTATGGGTGGAAATATTATGTACAGGACAATTGCATAACATTTTTGGCAGTTCTATTTAATTACAACCAATACACTGGTTCACATATCACCAGGGGTTGGATTCTTGCCAAATAATTACTGTTGTTACAACAGCACTGACAACCTCAAGGGAGAAAACTCTGGCTATGATATATGCCAAAGGGAGAGAACTACATCCTGGTCTAGAAAATAAATGTATTTTACAGAGTAAGTACAGTATGTATTAGACATAAGAGAGGAAGTGTTAGAGTTTTACCTAAGAGGTCACATATTAAAATTTTTCTAACCATTTTGCTATTTCTTAACAGGCAGCCATTGATATTCTCGGTTGGAACAAGAAGGATGTTTGTGACATCACCACCTGTCGTTTACAGGTTGCCTTAGCAACTGATCATAACTGGGCCACAAAACGTCTCCGACTCAAGTTTTCTACAGTTCAAGGAATCCTTCTAACCCTTGGAAAGGTATGGTTGTTTGTCTTTAATACTGGATAATTTTGACAGAGCTCTATACTATGACACCAGATAATATAATGTACTAGCTTCTTATTACTACAAACATTATATAAGCCTATGTTGTCTGTGCTGTATTAAGCTCACCCACATCTATCATTTTTCAGAGGAATTACAAAGAAAAAAGAAATTCATATATTTTGTTGTTTGATTGACAGGGGGAGCGTCACAGGTCTGAAGAAGATGGTCTCCTGTTTCCCCGTAAAACTCAAGTCATTCAAGCTGCCGTGGTGTTACTCAAGGAGAAAAATGGCAAATACCAGACTCTCAGAGTAAGTCATGTGATAACATAAATTATGTGACTATTACAAAATCACGTGATAATATAGATCACACCACAATGTGCATAAATGTCCTCTTCACCAAATTTACTCCGGAAGTTTTGATAAGAAGATTGTTATATGTTTTTTTTATTTTTGGTTAATGTATAAGAATTAACCAAATAGAAATTAAATGTGATTTTGTCTAACTGTCCAGAGGGCAGAAATTAATATTGTCTATACTTACTACAGGAGCCATTCATGCTGAACCGATGTATAGTGAACCATGACCCTGACTCTGATGATATGTTTGAAGTGTTTGAGAACAACAAAGAACCCTTTGTGTTTAAGGTAAGTCACACTCAGGTCTATTGGTAATATGGTAAACTAAAAAAAATATGATTTATTCTGAAACAATTTTTTTTATTTACAGGATATTTTGATAAAGGTTGAAATATTTTTGCCAAGCTGAAAATGATCGATCTGCAAAATGACAAGAATATTATTTTTTTTTCAATTATGATAAATTAAGACAGGTAAAGTTAATCACATTAAAAATGCAATTTTGAGAATGTATTAAACATTGATCTTTTAGGGTGATGACAATGAAGTGAAACCATGGTTAATGAACATGAAGCAGCAGACTTTAGACTTAGGGACATGGAGGAAAAGAAGGAATGCACTTCCTAACATCATGATCAAACATTTGGTGTGAAGTTTACTTTTAACTTCAAGGTCAAAACCAAAGGTCATTCCCATGATCAGAAGCTTTGCTGCTAAGCTTGAAGGTATCCTATCATCTCTATACAAAGGTACCTTTCAGAACAAAGGCAACCTCAAAGTTGCCTGATTGGTGCCTACAAGGTCACGGTCATCCACAAGGTCATGGTCATCCACAAGGTCATGACTGTCCTCAAGGTCGTGGTCGTCCACAAGGTCATGCACAGCCCAGAAATGAAGACACATATATGGAAAGACTCATGGATGGAAGGAAACACTGTAAACAATATATGACCTTTGTGGAGAATTCAGATTGGCCCAAGGACACCGGTCCTTGCAAAGCTGTATACCAAACAGTATGTCAGTCATAAAATCCCAAGCGTGGCAAGTTTTACGACATTTTGTCAATAATTCAACTTGTAACATACTGTATTTTCCTGAAATAAGCCCATGGTTCCCAAGACATAGAATTTGAGTCAAAGTAGGGAATGGGCTTAATGTAGAACAATTAAATAACATCTGTGAGCTGTTTTTATCTACAGTAAATTTGGTTTCGGTTCTACTACCAATCCAGGTATAAAACGGTAAAGAGCTCTCCATACCAAGAGCAATGTTAAGCATTCCATCATGAAATATTAGAATTGTAACATGGTATTTGTTTGAAGTTGTCCATCATTTGAGGATAAGTTTAGAAATATCCTGGAAATGTAGATCTTTTTTTTCCTGAAAGATCAATTAGCGATATTAAGATCAATGAAATACTTTTTAAATGTGCCAGATATTTTTTTTATTTTTTGTTAGATATTGAAGGGTGCAGAGCTTTGTAGAAATAATCTAGATACCAAAGGTTAAAAAAACATATGTATCATGTTAAATAATGTATTTATTACTTGTCCATCCATTTTCAGAAAGGAGATCATTTTCTTGTACTAGGTTATATCATCATCATAGTCAGAGAAGTGCTAATTCTCATGTACCATATATGGAGAAATATTAACTTTGGAGATGAATTTGTGTTTTTTCTGATTGTTGTGTCATTCAACAAGAAATTGTCACTATGATGGTGAAGTGATGAATTCAGTTTACAATAAAAGAAAAAAATTGTAGTGTGAGTTTTTAAGGAACCCCCTTTATGCCGAGCTTTATGTGAGTGAAGGGAGATAACTCGTTTGCACCTTGTGAAAATTAGAGAGTTGAATGTGGTTAATCTGTATGCAGTGCTTTATGAGAGAACAACTAATTTCAGTTTGTTTTCTTTAAGAAAATGTAAAGTAAACATTATAACTTCTGAACTTTGACATGATATTTTCACATTGATATAAATTGGCGTCTATGCAGTTTTATGTTGTATTATCATGTGATTATCTCCCTTATGCCTTGATAACATGTTTTTTTCTTGGAAAGATTGTCTTCGACATTTGGTATCATTATACATTATCTTATTCCAACCATGAATCATCATAAAAACAAATTGAAGAAACAATTTTTAATGGTTTAAACTTATCGATGATTATTTTTTAAATTCTTGAAATTTAAGGAAACAAAAGAACTTTGAATGATTATATTTTTCTCAGTTTTCATTGATTGATTTTTTTCTGTAAAATATTAATTGTGCAATGCCAATGGTTTGTAAATATTGTTTGTGATATAATTGAATATGCCATGATATTAGTGCCAAATTGTGTTTAAGTTGCTTACCCCCATAATGGAATATGCTGTTAATTTCCTTATATATATGTAATGAAATATAAAGAAAAACCATTATAATCCAAAGGGGTCACAGCTTGTGAAACACTTTATATTAAACAGTATTGTTCTTCTTTGGATGTCATATCATTTGTGACATCAAATTTATTATTCAAATCTAATTCATGTGTATATTTAATTAAATTGTAGACTTGTTAATACCTGAACACTCTGTAATCTCTAACGCAGACTATTAAGGTTTTCTAGATTTTTAGGATTGTCTGGTCCCTGGTTCAACATCCTGTGTCTCTGACTTGGTTGTACAATATGTGTATATTGTAAATTATTGATATAGTACAAGGGCCTGTGTTTCTGGTATTAAATTATGCATTTTAACTTATTCATATAGTACTGTACAAAAGCCTGTGTTTCTAGGTTTAATATATATTTTAAATTATTTACATACAATGTAGAACTGCGTCATTCCCTGTGTTTCTATATTTAAGTACATTTAATTAATAAATATCGTAATGTACATGGGCCTGTGTTTCTGGGATTAAAGTACACGATAATTGGTCTATTTAGTAATGTACAAGGGTCTGTGTTTCTGGGATTAAAGTACACGGTAATTGGTCTATTTAGTAATGTACAAGGGCCTGGGTTTCTGGGATTAAAGTACACGGTAATTGGTCTATTTAGTAATGTACAAGGGTCTGTGTTTCTGGGATTAAAGTACACGGTAATTGGTCTATTTAGTAATGTACAAGGGTCTGTGTTTCTGGGATTAAAGTACACGGTAATTGGTCTATTTAGTAATGTACAAGGGCCTGTGTTTCTGGGATTAAAGTACACGGTAATTGGTCTATTTAGTAATGTACAAGGGCCTGTGTTTCTGGGATTAAAGTACACGGTAATTGGTCTATTTAGTAATGTACAAGGGCCTGGGTTTCTGGGATTAAAGTACACGGTAATTGGTCTATTTAGTAATGTACAAGGGCCTGGGTTTCTGGGTTTAAAGTACACGGTAATTGGACTATTTAGTAATGTACAAGGGCCTGGGTTTCATAGTGTATTTTAGGTACAATTTTTTATAGCACTGTCAAGTGTCTTGTATGAAGACATTGTATGAAGTGTTGAAAACATAATTTGAATAATTCTAACATAAATATTCATAATTTGTTGTCAAAGTATCAATGTGATACAAAATAATTGGTGGTGTTTTTGGGAGCAAAAAGTTGAAGGTTTATCCCCATCAGTGTCTGGTATGGCATTCTGTCTGATCTTCTATAGGGATAAAGATTACACTTCTTTTTTAACACTTGTTTGTTAATCTTCCTATTTCAATGGATCCAGCACTCAGTGGTTATTTTTTCTTGCACTTCATAAATACATGTGTTTTGATCTCATGATCTGATGTTTTTGTGATATCGTCAAGGCCCAAACTCTGTTTTTTTTTTTAAAAAGATTTTCTCGCTAATGCCAAGGCCCCAACTCTGTATTTATCATTCTAATGACAAGGCCCTAACACTGTATTTATCTTTTCTCTCTAACGACAAGACCCCCAACTCTGCATTTATCATTCTATCTAATTACAGGGCCCCAACTCTGTATTTACCATTCTCTCTAATGACAAGACCCCAACTCTATATTTACCATTCTCTCTACTTACAAGACCCCAACTCTGCATTTATCATTCTATCTAATTTACAAGGCCCCAGCTCTGCATTTATCATTCTCTCTAGTTACAAGGCCCCAATTCTGTATTTACCATTCTCTCTAATTACAAGGCCCCAACTCTGGATTTGTATTTTACTACTCTTTCCATTTTCTCTGCTAACTACAAGTTCCAAACACTGTATCTTTTCTTTACATGACTCTGTTCTATCTAAGTTAGCCTGCCGGTCCCGATCACACATTTGCCATTATTGTTATCGATCAAGAGATCCAGTTACCATGGATATAATTGTCCCTCTGAGTCTTTTAAGTACTGACTGGGTGTATAATGAAATCATGGAGTTGCATGATTATCTTGTTTACAGAACGAATAAACATGTTTTAGCTAAACAATGAATACTTGCCAACTTGCCGAAACACGACTCCAAGTTTTTCCTCTTTCATTCTTAAAATATGTCACTTTTCTGTCCTCCCTGTTCACATTCATCATACACATACTGTTATTTTTCACAAGATATTTTACTAAATTTTCATAATTTATTTTCACTATTTTCTGTTATATGATAAGGAGTAATGAAAAAATAGCAACCTATGCAAGTCAGCAACCTATCACTAGGCCAGAGGGAAATGTCCACTGTTTAGAGTAGTTAGGTGATGTTAGTACCTAGAGTTTTTACAGTGGAATATATTTCCCAGAACAAAACATCAAGTGTCTATGTTTATACACTTAAATGCTAAATAAATCTTACAAAATGACATACATCGTCCCTCATACAACTTGAGACAATTAAAATGGCAAATTTCATAGGGTGACAGGCATGTGTGTGTCACCTGTGAAAAATTGTAAAACTAAGTTGGCATAACTTATGACATTTTGCGCAAAGAAAGTCTTCCTTTGAATTGTATATTCAACTGTCTTGTGGAAATTAAATATTCAAAATACGTCAATGAATCTAAATTGATAAATGAATTCTATATGTTTGGAATTCACGTTGTACGCGTTTCACAAGAACAAGGGGGACAACTCGTGCATGGTTGTGGACAATTCTGCTGGTTCTTCGAAGGCTTCGTACACACAGTATATATAATCACGGCAAACGGCTGACTTCTAGATTTCTGACAAACTTTTGCTACAATAATGTTGTTTTAATTAGAAAAGAATTAATTTTTGAATTAACTATCTATTTCATATATCGTTTCTATTTCTGTTTAATAGGTATAATTTATTGTAATCCATTGTTTTTTTACTATTGATGTTTTTGTTACATGTTTGTTAAAAGGTTAAACCTGAGACAGCACAAGTATATGCTGTTGTAACTTATAATAATGTTTCATTTTTATACATTGTTTACGTCTAATGACACAAATCATACACCTCATGTTTCATCCTTGTAGGGAAAAGAATTCAACAATGAAATTTATGAAAAATGAAATAAATTTAAAAAAACTAAAATGAATCCTTTGTTTTTCAGTTTATTCTGCGATACATACATCCAATTGTTTTCGAAACAGTGAAGTCATAGAAGAGTTTATATACTTCTGTGAATATCATCAGTCACGTGACAGTAAGGGACAGGGGGACTGGTTACTTTTGTGAATATCTTCAGTCACGTGACAATAAGGGACAGGGCACTG